GCATCTCCCAGTAACCCCTTCTGTTGATTTTTTTTTCATTTCTGCACTTATGCTTTGAATTTCCCAGGGCCTTTTGTTGTCATTTTTGATGATCTCTTAAATGTTTTGGGGTTTGTTTGTTTTTAAGTGGCATTCTGTCCTTATTTAATCCATGAATGAATTACTTTCTTACCTTTTTTGAAAACTCCCCACTTATGTGGCCTTTGCTTCCTCCCAATTGAAAAATTGGCCTTTTTCAATTTATTTTGGTCTCTGTTTCCAGGTTAGAGACTTTCTTCAGATTTCTGGTAATCCTTGGGATTCCATGCATATATTTCAACATGAAGATTATAAAGTTGAGTGGGATCTCTGAGCACATAGAATGGGCTGGTTAAACATGAGCTTCACTGTAGGATGGCTTACATGGACAGTTTGGGAACCCCCAATGTGTTCTTCCCCTTGGGCTAGTCAGGTTCTTTCAGAAAAAAGACCTTAGATCTCCCTAGAGGAGAAGTCTGGCTACAAGCAGATAGGGCTGGAAGGGGTTAGAAAATCTCAGCACTCAGCACTCAACTCCTAGTTGTGTGTGTGTGTGCGTGTGTGTATGTATCTTTGCTGTACACCTGAAACTAACATAATACTGTAAATCAACTATATTTCAATTTAAAAAATCTGGCTTCTTGATGCAGAAATCATCAATGCTTTTTATATTGCCAGAGTTACAGCTTTTTATAAGAGTGAAAAAACAGAAATGTCCATCAAGGGGGATTATTTAAATAAATTGTGTCTCAACCATGAAATACTATTTCAACAATGAAATAGTATCAGCCACTAAAGCTAATGTTTTGAAAGAATAATTTAATACCATGAAGACAATGTACCTAATATATTAAGTGAAAGAATAGATTGCAAACCATATATTCAAAACATCACATCTTTTTAAAGTATATATATTTTAAAGGGAAACAGTGTCTACCAATCACATAGTCATAATACTATATATACAAAGAAGAAAGTTGTACCAGAAAGCTAAGGATGCTTATCTTTGAGTGGTGAGATGATAGATCAAATAGAAACCATGTGATCAGTTAGAAAATAAATACCCAACAGACAAAAATTCCCAAGAATATGTAAGAGCAAGCTGTCTTACTTCTGGGGCCTCTTCTGCCAGATTGGGTATAAATCTTACCCTATTCTGCAGGGTACATTCCTTTGTCCAGGGATGGTCTGAAGAATTATATACAAGCCCATGCCCCTTCTTCCTTTTCCAGCCACCTAATGATCCCCATGGTATCCAGAGAGAAGATCTCATCCTGAGTCTTCGAGCTGTGCTGGCTTCTACACCCCGATTTGCTGAGGTGGGTCTAGCCAAAGTTAGAGATGCAGACTCAGCCCATAGAAGGTTCTGAAGAAAGAACAGTAAAAGCATGGAGAAAAGGAAGATCCAGTATACATTTTAGGGTGTGGCATCCTGAAAGTGTCTGCAGGCTTATGTGGCAAGTATCTTCAGACCTTCAAAGTAGAAAACTACCATTTCTTCATTTAAAATAGTAATCCAATCCCTATATGGTGCTATCTTTTGAAACTCTATAGCTTTGCCAGCTGTCCCATTTTTCAGGTCACTGGGAATCTGGCCACAGCTTGGCAGGAAGGTTGGTTTAGAGTGACAACTCCTGATTCAAGTGTAGCTCCTTGATGTAGTACCACCTACCCCTGGGGAGTGGCGGCAGCGAGGACGTGGTTGGCCTTGGTGTGGTTGTGACACTACCCATATCTCAGGCTTCAGTTCTTCCTTCTCTCCTACAGTTCCTGCTGCCCCTGCTGATTGAGAAAGTGGACTCCGAGATTCTGAGTGCCAAGCTGGATTCTTTGCAGACTCTGGTGAGTGATTTTTCTCTTTCGAGGATCTGGCTGCCTTTAAACAGTTTAAGGATGCTAAAGGATTATGGATCTTGGAGAGCCAGGGAACAGTTCAGTGGGCTTCAAGAGAGGGATACGCAGGATCTCGGCCTCTATGTTGACCTAAAGCCCCGAGCTGCATTTTGTCGTGTCCTATAATAACTGAGTGGCAACCAAGGAAGGCTGACCAGGGCTCCCTCTTCATGCTTGTTTTTCAACTATCAGGACGAGCTTCTATTTTTCAGTGACCTAGGAAGGATGGTTATGAAATCCTGCTGGTTTTACTGCTGAGAACCAGGGTCCTTCGGGTGACATTATGCTGAAGTGCCAGCATGTTCTAGGAAGTCTGGGTGTGTTGATAGCTGTTACCTGTGCTTTCCTTGGCAGAATGCTTGCTGTGCTGTATATGGACAGAAAGAACTAAAGGACTTCCTCCCCAGCCTTTGGGCTTCTATCCGCAGAGAGGTGAGTGTTATTTAGATAAACTCACTACTGTTAACTTCTAGTTGTCAGGCATGAGGGGAAATAACACACCCTGTCCTTTTCCCTCTATTGCTGTGCCTGGTTATTCAGCAAGCACAAGAGGGCAGACTTCTAGTTGAATGACAAAGGTAGGGTCAGCTTGGTGATGGCACATGATCAACTTCACACAGTGCCCACCTCCTGTCCTTCCATGCTAAGGAGCATAGGTCATGCTGAGCAGAGGGGGAGAGGAGGAGACGTGGGATAAGGGGATCCCAACAACCACTGCTCAAGGTCAGCATTCAGTTTCTCAGAAAGTATGTGTATGGGTCCTAGTGGGACTAAGGACTTAGAATATACCAATTGAGAAGAAATTGAGGGGCTAATTTCCATTGCTGTGCCCTAAAGGTTCTCACACCCCCCCCAAAAGGAAATAGGGAGTAGGTGAGTGAGGTCGTACCTGGTGCAGGCTCACCTCAGTAGCCATGGGATCCCTCCCTGACAGGTGTTCCAGACGGCAAGTGAGCGGGTAGAGGCCGAGGGCCTGGCCGCCCTTAACTCCCTGACTGCGTGTTTGTCTCGCTCTGTGCTGAGGGCTGATGCTGAGGACCTCCTTGACTCCTTCCTTAGCAACATTCTACAGGGTAATGGGGCCATGGCAGCTAGAAAGGGGAGTGAGCACAACAGAGAGAAATTCCTTAAGGCCAATAACCTTTCATAAGTAGCCTCCCATGTTCAGTGATTTGGGTACTGGAGCCCTGCTTTGAATTGAAAGCAATTTGAATGGTAACTGCTAGCCAGCTGTCCCAGGGCTCAGCATCCAACTTCTGTGGCCTGCAGGGGAACCAGGCAACATTCAGCCTACTCCCCAGGTCTGTGATGTGCCGCTTCTCTAGACTGCAGGCACCATCTGTGTGAACCGGATATGAAACTGGTGTGGCCTAGTGCCAAACTGTTGCAGGCGGCCGCAGGTGCGTCTGCCCGGGCCTGTGACCACATCACCAGCAATGTGCTGCCTCTACTGCTGGAACAGTTCCACAAGCACATTCAGGTAAGGAAGCAGAATCTTTTGAGGAAATGATGGGACCCCTCGCTAGGATCCCTTTCTCGCAGAGAAAGCTAAGCATTGAGCTTGGGCTCAGATAGCAGACCTTGTGTTTTGCTCCCATTAGCTGCTGCTAGCTCCCTTATTCACTCTTTTTCTGACTCTCTTACCTACAAGGATAATTCTCCCCACTTCCACAGTCACAGGACTGAAATCCTTTAGAAAATATTCTTTGACTCTCGATATCCCTTAAAACATTACAGAGCAACCAGCGGCGGACAATCCTTGAAATGATCCTGGGTTTCTTGAAGCTGCAACAGAAATGGAGCTATGAAGACAGGGGTGAGACTACCTTCCAGCTGTGGTATCCTGGGGGCTGCTGAGCACTGTGGCCCTCTAAAAGATGGCAGGCAAAGAGTGCTACAGAGAAGTAGTCTAGAATAGTGGACCTGTTCTCAGGTTGTAGCACAAGAGAACACTTAACAGATGAGGCCTGTTTATTTTTTTCTAGTCTACTCCCTTGATACCTGATAGATTAAATTCTTTAAATATGCCCCAAGTTATCTTTGCATCACTGCTGACGAGGGCTTCCTTCTTACCTGGACTCTGTCTCTCCCTAGATGAAAGGCCTCTGAGTGGCTTCAAGGACCAGCTGTGCTCACTGGTGTTCATGGCCCTGACAAACCCCAGCACCCAGCTTCAGCTTGTTGGCATCCGTACACTCACAGTCTTGGGTGCCCAGCCAGGTATACTTAAGTGAAAGAGAAAAGAGGAGTATTGATCCCTTTCATGTAATTTTCTGTCTTAAGTGAAGAGCAGTCTTAATTCCCTGGTTCTCACTACAACTATGGATGATTTGGGATTTCTGTTAGGACTTTGAGAAGGGTTGTGGTGGTGGCTGAAGGGGAAAAAAGATGAATTTCACGTTTCCTTCTAACACAGATCTCCTGTCTCCTGGGGACTTGGAGCTGGCAGTGGGTCACCTATACAGACTGAGCTTCCTGGAGGAGGATTCCCTGAGTTGGTGAGAATCTAAAGCGGCAAGACAGAGCAGGCTGTTCCAGGGCTCTGTGCTTCTCACCCTTGGCTTTCCCTAGGGGAAGCAGGCTCTGTGCTTGGCTCTGGCTGCTAACCGGTTGGAGGTGTGGGGCTGCTCTCTTTTCTTGGGTGTTAATAGAAGCGCTGTCCAACTTAGTGGTGTAGGTACTTGAGTCCTACTCTTCAGCAAGGTGGCCTAGGGAGCCCACTCTCCTGCATCTAACTAATGGCAGGCCTAGGCAAGAGAGCTGTGGGCCACGGCTCAGCTAATGCTCGTCTGTCCTGTCCCTCAGCAGGGTGGCAGCACTGGAAGCATCAGGAATCCTGGCCACTCTTTACCCTGTGGCCTTCAGCAGCCACTTAGTGCCCAAGCTTGCTGAGGAGCTGTGTATAGGTACATGTCTCTGGTCTTCTGTGGCCTGGCCCTTCCCAGGGAGGTTTGGGCACCTTCATGCTTGCCATCAAACAGTGAAACCTGGTCTTCTGGGTTGCTTTCAGAGGAGTCAGATTTGGCTAGAGGGGATGGGCCCACTAAATGCTCCCGGCATCTGCGCTGCCTGCAAGCCTTGTCAGCTATATCAACACATCCCAGCATTGTCAAGGAGACCCTGCCTCTTCTGCTGCAGCACCTCTGCCATATGAACAAAGGTAACTACCAGGAACAGTCATCAAGGAGCTGGGCTAAAGGGGGAACCGTAGTCAGGTTTGGAGTTGAAGCCTCTAAAGCAGTGGTTCCAGTGGTGGCTGTGAGAGTCACATGGGAACTTTAAAAAAAAAATTCTGAGTGCCTGGGCCTCACTCAGTCCAACGGAATCAGTCTCTCAGGAGGGATGGGGCTTGGGTAACGTTTATTAAGAGTGCCCAGGGGAGTCCGTTGAAAAGCACCACTATAAGATTAGGCTACTCAAAATAGGGTCCATCAACCAGCAATGTGGGCATTATCTGGGAGCTTGTTAGAAATGCAGAATCTCGGGCCCCACTGATCAGAATCTGCATAGTAACGGTATCTCCAGGTAACTGGTACACACCCTGGAGTTTGAGAAGCACTGCTCCTCATAAGTGACATAAGTGACAGCACTGTGAACCTATGCATGCCCCCCACGGGCCCCCTCTGCACTGCCTGGCCCTTTGTGGTAGATCTAGTCGCCAGTGGATGATCCCGCAGTGATGTAGAGTAGAAAAAATACTGCACTCAGAGCGTGGCCTGGGTTTGATTCCTGACTTTGCCCTTACTATGACCCTGGAAAAGCCACTGGAAATTCATTGAGCCTCCACATCCTTCTCTATAAAATTAGAGAAATGATACTTTAGGGTTGTTACGAAAACTAAATGCAAAAATGTACAGTTGACCCTTGAACAACACAAGTTTGAACTGTGCAGGTTCACTTACACACAGATTTTTTTCAATAGTAAAAACCACAGTCCTCCACAATCTGAGTTGAGTTTGCAGATGCAGAACTGCAGGTATGGAGAAACCATGTATTCAGAGGGCTGATTATAAGTTACACATGGATTTTCAACTGCACAGGACAGTTGGTGCCCCTCACCCCCACGTTGTTCAAGGATCAGCTGTATATGAATGCTTCTGTTGCAGAGCTGGCAGGGCAGGTCTTGGCTCTTGAATTAAGTGACTTGGCTCTTTATAAGACACTCTTTGTCTCTTCAGTCCCTTGTCTTTGAGTATTCTTCCCATGTTCTGTATCTGACAGACCTGGAAGTGCTTTTAAGAAAAACTTACAGAGAACACTTTCTCACCACAGGGAATACGGTTGCAGGAACCAGTGAAGTTATTGCTGTCTGTCAGAGCCTGCAGCAGGTGGCAGAGAAATGCCAGCGAGACCCCGAGAGCTGCTGGTATTTCCACCAGACAGCTATACCTTGCCTGCTTGCCTTGGCCGTGCAGGCTTCCATGCCAGGTAACTTCCTCCACCTCATCCCTCCCACCCCTGGGTTTGGCCTTCCACTAGTGTTGAACAGCACTGCCACCCTCAGGGTACCTCTGGTATTGCATTCTGTGCCAGCAGAGGCTTCCTTTCAATCTTTTGTCCACATAATGAGGTTTCACTCCAAGCACAGAGTGCCAAGCTGACCAATGGCAGGAACCCAAGTCTACCAGTGTTAGCAACACTCAAAAGGATGCACACATTTCCCCTCTTTAATTGCTGTGTAATTAGATTAGTTAGAATTGGGCTCTTAAGTCAAGCAGACCTGGTTGGGTTTCATCTTCAGCTCTACCACTTCCTGACTTAGGTGAAGATATTTAGCCTTTTTAAGCTTCTGTTTCCTCCCTTGTAAGGGAGAGATAAAGAGTAATATCTATATCACAGGGTAGTTGGTAAGGATTAAGTAAGATAATGCATAGTGCTTGGCAACAGAAATGTTTGTGTATGTGTATGTATATATGTATGGTAGCTGCTGTATGAAAGGACCCATGAGGATAAATCCATGTTACCTTTAAGTTTTTGAAAAGACCAAGGTAACTATTTCTGGGGTTAAGAATGTTCATATTAGTTAGCCTTATTTCCCCCTGTTGCCCCATCTAAGGTTCTCGAGAGCTCTCCGTAGCCCACGTTAGATGCTCCCACTTCTGGTGCCTTGCTGGTTCTCAGGGCTACAGCACTACTAGGGGACAGGTTAAAAACTGCTGCTGTTGAAGCCAGAGTCAAGGCTCAGAGTCATGGTGATGACAGGACCTACTCATCTGACCCAGTCATGGCCTGTGATTGTATGTGTCTGTATGTGTGTATGTTTTAATTTTGTAGAGAAGGAGCACTCAGTTCTGAAAAAAGTGCTGTTGGAGGATGAGGTCTTGGCCGCCATGGTGTCTGTCATTGGCACTGCCACCACCCACTTGAGCCCTGAGTGAGTATAATCATGGATGTGACTTGATCGTAGGGAGGATAGAATTCTTGCGAGGCAGCAGCAGGTAACTACCTTCTGAACTGTCCTGCTACCTAGATTTAAACATGGAAGCAGTTACTTGTTTTGTAAGTCTTGCTGGCAAAGTAAGAGGAAGGGGCTTTTTAGCACCATGGACTGTGGGGTGGGGGAGCCATGAACTAATGGTTCTTAGCTGCTGATGTATGTAAGAGTCACTTGTGGAGCACTTTTTATATATACACTGATTCTCACTAGACTAAGCTCTAGAATAGGGATTTGATCTGTCTGGTTCACTACTGTAGCATCAGGGCCTAGAACGGGAATGGTTCCTGGCATGTATGTGCTGAGTCAGTAGCTGTTGAAGGTGTGAGTGGTCATGTTCTGGCCCACCGACTCAGTGACTGCTGGGAACCCCAGGGCTACTGTGGAACCCCAGCTCCTTGGTGACACCTAGTGCTCTCCCCCCAGCTTAGCTGCCCAGAGTGTCGCCCACATTGTGCCCCTCTTCTTGGATGGCAACATCTCCTTCCTCCCTGAAAACAGCTTCCCTGGAAGATTCCAGCCATTCCAGGTGAGGATCTGCTGGATCAGATTGCAGAGAATCTTGGGACTTTTCTCTTTCAAATTTTTAGGGCTAACCCGGGACGGGTATCAGGGCAGACAAGCCTCTTGCTGGTGGAACTGGCTTGATAGGGCTCTTCTTCCTTTATAGGATGGCTCCTCAGGGCAGAGGCGGCTGGTTGCACTGCTTATGGCCTTTGTCTGCTCCCTGCCTCGAACTGTAAGTGACGGAAACATTTGGGGAGTTATCCTAGTTTAAGCCTGACAAGGGGAGGTGGTTCCTGGCTGACTTCTAGGCTGAAATCTGTCACAGGCCAAGCTGATTTTCTACTTTTCCGTCTGGAGAATTTACTTCTTATCCCCCCGGCCCCTGCTGCCACTCTCTCCTGGGTATCTTTGGGAGTTCAAGTGTTCTCTGGGTCCATGACATGGCCAGGTTTTCTGTAGGTTGAAATCCCTCAGCTGAACCAACTCATGCGAGAACTTTTAGAGCTGAGCTGCTGCCACAGCTGCCCCTTCTCCTCCACCGCTGCTGCCAAGTGCTTTGCAGGCCTCCTCAACAAGCACCCTGCAGGTACTGGGATGAGGCTATGGGGCGGGAGCCTCCCTGAACTGACTACTGACGAAATCTTAAAGTTTGGTCCTCATTTGCTTTTTAAAAGGAGCTTGCTAATAATATAATTGGGCTTTCCCAGGGAGAGCCCTTTGGATAAGAGTCAAGACCAGAGTTGGGCAAAGCATTATAGGACATAAGATAAGGGGTTACAAGCAGAGTGCTCTATCTGGTTCAGTCATCCTGTTCCCTACAGGGAGCTATTAGGGGTAATTCTTTATTAGAAGTTGACTCTTTTCGAATGCCAGCCACCCTACACTATGAGAATACCAGGCTCTCACGCTGGTGTCCTAGAGTTGAGTGGGCATGTGCATTGAAATGATTTACACCCTTTGTTGTTCAAGGACACATATGTAGCATCATATCATTGCATCAGCATTTCCTCCCTCCTTTTTAGGGCAACAGCTGGATGAATTCCTACAGCTGGCTGTGGACAAAGTGGAGGCTGGGCTGAGCTCTGGGCCCTGTCGTAGCCAGGCCTTTACACTGCTTCTCTGGGTAAGGAGTCAGAATGGATTTCCGTGAGAGAGCAGTTATGTCTACTTAAATAAAATTTCTCCATTTAACCCTGAGCCATAAGCATGCTTCTCAGGGTTCTAGGGTTTGGTGCCATGCCCTGACTGTTCTCCTTCTCTCTGATTACAGGTCACAAAGGCCCTAGTGCTCAGATACCATCCACTCAGTTCTTGCCTTACAGACCGGGTAAGTCCCTTCTGGAGACTGCAGAACCTAGGACCTAAACAGGAACTTCCCTGTCACTCTTCCTCCCAGAAATGGCTTCTGTCCTCTTCTTGGGTATTTAAAATCCCTCCTCCTGACATACCTCAAAGGCTCCTTTTTCTCCAGCTCATGGGCCTCCTGAGTGATCCAGAACTAGGCCCAGCAGCAGCCGATGGCTTCTCTCTGCTCATGTCTGACTGCACTGACGTGCTGACTCGTGCTGGCCACGCCGAAGTGCGGATCATGTTCCGCCAGCGGTTCTTCACGGATAACGTGCCCGCTTTGGTCCGGGGCTTCCATGCTGCTCCCCAAGGTGAGGAGAGTCTAAAGGAAAGGCTGTAAATATATAGACCTCTCCTTTGCTCAGGCCAGTCTCTAAAATAACCTCGGACTGGGGCTCCTTTAGAGCCATAGTGTGGTCTGTCTGAAATGCTGAACGTCCAGATTCTTGCCCTACTCTTTTCCTTTGATGGGCATATCTTATTCTGAGCTTGAGGGAATTTTTTTTTTAAACTTTTTTGTAGGCTGATGTTCCAACTGCACCAGAAATTGGAGTTGAATTCTCAAGCTGTATGTCTGAACTCAGTTTTTCCCCTAAGCTGTACCATTTTTTTACAGATGTGAAGCCAAATTATCTGAAGGGTCTGTCTCATGTACTCAACAAGCTGCCAAA